CTTGAGGTATTCGGCCAATCACAACACACTGGATAGCTGGCCAATCAGAGCACACCTCACTCTTCAGACCGATGAGCTTTGTAAAAATTTCAGTATCAAAAAAAGTTTCAGAAAGGCGGGGCATAGAGGAGAGTACAGTATGTACAGTATGTGGAAAATAATGGGTTTTTTGAACCTTAAACCGCATAAACACATTTCATTACACCAAATACACAAAATATGACAACATATGACCCCTTTAATTGCTGAATTCCCAATGAAGAACTACACTATCCATAATCCTCAAGAGAGATCCACCAATCAGAGAAGTCATGGCAATGTGTACTGCAGCAAGAAAGCTTGGAAAAAAACTTGCAATCGACATAATCGAGACTTAAACTACTTTTATGTATTTGACGTTTTATACTCAAATTTTCTTTACATAATTCGCCATACTTGATTAGTAGTTAATTGCCTAATGAAATACATTAAATACACTGTATTTTTTGCCTCATATCCAAGTTTTTAATGTTGTAATTTATATCCAAGCTTCTTATTTGATTCAAGGCTTAGAACTTTTTATTTTTTTAAACAAACTTTTTAAGTCCAGATGGAAAAATAAGTATTAATAAATTCTAGAACTGTTATTGTTACTGTTATCCCTATTGCTATACATTATGTGGTCTATTAAATGTTACTGTGTTGATGAATGTAGATTTCATGTAAAAATGTTCTTTCACTTGGCAGAGATGCTTGAACCAAGGTCAAGAGGAGGTGGAGGCGGCGGCAAATCGTCAGGAGATGGCAAGATAGGCACAGGGAGAGAAACCCTCAGATTGCGCTCCAAGGGTCCTGCAACAGTTGAGGAGATGGTGACTGTGTTTTCTCAATGTTGCGATTCTGAGTTTATATTTTACAATTCTGACACGTTTTTCGCAATTGTAAGATATAAACTTGATGGAAATGAAGAATTCAGAAAATTAAGTCAGGATTGCGCAACAAAAACTCAGTTCAGAAGAATTTTGAAATAAAATTGACCCTTCATTTCATATTTCATGGTGGAAACAGAAACATATGTAATAACATAAATAACACGGTCACTGATAGTATTCACAGTCATGATGACATTCAATTGAGGAGTATATCTAAAGCTTTTCTCTTACTCCACAGCCCTCAGAGTTTGAAGAGAAGGCAGTGAAGAAAGTGGATGACCTTCTTGAGAGTTACATGGGCATTCGAGACACTGAATTAGGTGAGATTTCTGTAGTGTTTCACATCATGGAGTGTAGCCTACATCTCCCGTTTGTTTATTAGATCATTTAAAGATTATATTTTAACATGAACATTTACCCTGTGAACTTCTTAAAGTTGTTTTAGTATTATTTCTATTGATATTGTGTGAAATTGTATTGTCAATGTTTCTTTCCATGTCTGCATTATATGTTGTGAAGCACTTTGAGCTGCATATCTTGTATGATAAGTGCTATACAAATCTATGTTTATTATTATTTATGAAAGTGTGTTTTAAGACAATACACTACCATTGAAAGATTTGGGGTCAGTAAGATTTGTAACGTTTTGAAAAAAAAAAAGATATGTATATATATATATACTGTATATATATACGTATATGGTACTGTGTTGGGTAACATGAAAAGGTATTAATAAAATATTTACAAAAATGTGAGGGGTGTACTCACTTCTGTGAGATACTGTATATATATATAAAAATCTGGGTGCCAAAGTGACTTTTGCAATGGTTTGTTGCATTAACAGATATTACTAAAATGTGTCAGGCTTTAAGTATTGCAAAACGAGATGACTGTATCCTCCTTTTCACTTCTGTACAGCCGCCACAATGGTCGAGGTGGGCAGAGATAAGAAGAACCCTGATGAGTTTGCCATGGCTCTGGACAAGGCTCTTGGTGACTTTGCCTTCCCAGATGAGTTTGTGTTCGACGTCTGGGGAGCCATCGGTGATGCTAAACAGGGACGGTTTTAAGCGCTGCTACACGCGCACACACACACACACACACCACCACACATTAAAAAAAAAAACTGAGCTGAAATCAAGAGCATCCTGTTCAGAGTCATGCAGTTTCTAGCTAGCATGCTGAACATTTGAATTTATGTGATTGACAAAAATATTTTTACAAATAAACAATAAACAAAAAATAATAGTAAATATATCACCACTGTATTTTTCCTCACATAATACATTCTCAAGCCTTTCAAAGAGCTTCAACAGCAGTTAGGCACCAGGATGATGATGAGAATCTAGAGAATTTATTTCTGTGGTTTAGCATTTGTAGGTGAAGCTGGGAGTTTGATATTTATAAAAAATAAAAAAAAGCCAAGGGAAAGGGTGATGTTTGAAACACTCTTCTGCATAGAGAGAATTTTGTATAGAATTATGGATATATATCAGTTGTCTTTTTAGAGCTATTTTAGACTTTAATGTATTTAATAAAATGAAACTTTTGAGAAATTAGTTTCAGTAGCTGATTGTCATATTGTAGTCAATTCAAAATATACACATTAAAAAAAAATAGTGCCAAGCGGTTAATTTAAAAAATATCACAAATGAATTGGTCACTGTTGATTTTATTGTTTTTAGTTTCTTGTAAAATATAATCCACAAGGGATCACTTTGTATGATAGATGTATGTTTTATTTAATAAAATGAAACTTTTGAGAAATTAGTTTCAGTAGCTGATTGTCATATTGTAGTCAATTCAAAATATACACATTAAAAAAAAATAGTGCCAAGCGGTTAATTTAAAAAATATCACAAATGAATTGGTCACATTGTTGATTTTATTGTTTTTAGTTTCTTGTAAAATATAATCCATAAGGGATCACTTTGTATGATAGATGTATGTTTTTGTGTGCCTTCACATTTGTGTTGTCAATGTAATTTTGTATGAACAATTTCTATTGTGCTCAAATCACAGGTTTTGTCTATGCCTGTTTTTTCACATTTATTAAAGATGAAAATTAAACTGCATTGTGAATTTTATCTTTTTTTTTAGCTTATCAGCGGCAGGTAAGATTGCTGCTTATAATTCAAACCACAGCATGCCATTTAATTCTTATTTAACAGCATTTAATTATGCTCAGAATGTTGTTTAGTGTTTTTGCACTGGGGTTTGACTTGCTGTAAACACCACCAATAGCAAAGTAGTTTCCATTTTCCGTTTCACAGTGGAACAGAAGGACTGTCTGAATAATGACTGCCCCCTGCTGTAGCAACAATCATGAGGTTGTGGTTTGTGTAAGGGCCCTATCAGGCAAAACAGCTCCATAATGTGGAAGTAGGATATGAATATAAAAATAGTTAGGAGTTATCCTTTAATTAATACCAATGAAACAGAGTTTTACGATGCATTTACACTACCAAAAATAAAAAATGGGGCCTGTAAGATATTTTAATGTTTTTTGCATAAAATCTCACCAAGGCTGCATGTATTAAGAAATAGGTCCAAATGAACAGCATTTATTTGAAATAGAAATCTTGTGACATTATACATGTCATTCACTTTTGGTAAAATTAATGCATCGATGAATAAAAGCATTACTTAAGTCCTTTGAACAGTAGTTTAGGGATCCTTTTATATTAAACACTTTTTTTTCGTGTTTGGTTTACAAATGGGTTGTCAACTTAATTTGATTAAATTCTATTGTGCTCAAATCCAGTTTTAACACCATGCAGCAAATAATTAAGTTAGTTTTGCACTAATTAGACCAGGTGATATTTCGATAGTTCCTTAAAGTACCTTTTGGAAACTTATTGCTAAAATAAAATAGATTTAAGTATTGTTCACTCTACTCTGTGTTAAGTTAACACTGAAATAACTATATTCCAATATTTTATATCAACTTTATTTGTAGCCTCATTTTACATATTGGTAAAAAATACAGTATGGCGAAGACGAACAATTCCCTCTCAAACCCAAAAGAGAAAATAAAAAAGTACCAGTTCACATTACAGGCATTAATTCACAAGTATTATCAATAGTAAAAATCTGTCTTTAAAATGAAAGGCGGCTCCATATATTGAGGACTAAAACTTGGCAAGTTTAAGAGATACTGTTAGCATTTCTAATAACTTTTAACATAATAGAACTGGTACGATCATGGAAACATACATAATAGTTTTTAGGTGGGTACAGTTTAGGGATTATAAAGCTCTTCATAAAAGTGACTGTGTAACTGGATCAGTTTTACCACAGCTTGCAAGATATGGCTTGGAAGCACATGAGCATTGCCTTACTGGCATGTTTCTTAAAAAACATGGAGTGCCTTAAGAAAGCAGTCAAGAGGGGCGATTGTTTTCAACATGAATAATCAATATGGACTCATCAGCTTTGAATTTCTGAAATGCAAGATGAAAAAAAAACTTTTAGCACCCTTTATGTGACATGGACAGTAAGTATGCTTTGGTTCTCAAAGTAATAAGCCAATCAACCGCAAGCTGCGATACTTTAAAATGTAATCCGTAAATGCATTATAAATTCCTTCATTTTTGAAGTTTGTCTTGTGCTATAGCAGATCAAATGAAATGGCAGGAGGAGTTGAGGTTGGAGATGAATGGATGGATGGATGGATCTAATGTGGCCAGTAAGGTGATGCAGTATTCTGGCTGAGATCTTTCCATGCCGCTTCTTCCCTTCTTCTTAGAGTTCATCCCCGATGTGAGGGGTCCTGAAGGTATCGCCAGTCAGATTGTCTTGAGCTTCCTTCATGCTAGCCACAACTGCACACAGAAGAGAAATGTGGTCAAGGGCCATCTCGCTTGTTTTGTTCACATTGCACCTAAAATCTCATTTGTTTTTCAAATTCATCTTTAGAACAGACTGCACACACAGTCAGCCCTGTTTTGCATTGCCATTGGAAAGTTTGCCATTTGAAGCAAAGCCAGCAGAAACAGAAAGCAGAAAGTCAATACACTGCATTATTTATGATCACATTTTTCAAAATACTGTAAAATATTTGAGCAAAATGTTACGTCATAACTATTGCGTTCCTATTCTACAGAGTGCAACAGTCAGATTCCAGAAGTAAAATGCCATTTGTTTTCTCCACAGGGAAATCCATTTTTAAACATTAACTCAGAAACCTTTAAAGGCAGACCTACTATAAGCTTTGTTTATCAAAGGTGCTTTTGTTGACGCCATCACTTCGCATTATTGAAGTTATGATTTAAATAATAGGGTTTAACAGCAGAATCCCTAGTGAAAAACTGCACTAACTATTGGGCTGTAACGAAATTTCCACCAGAGAGTCGCTGTGATCAAATTGCGCCAGATGATCGCTGAGCTCCGCCCACTCCCATGAAGCATCATAAATCGAGTCGGTCTACCACGCTCTCAAAACGATTAAATATATATGCATATTTTGCAATAAACTTAAACTATATTGTATTGTTATAGGTACAAAGGACAACAACTTTAAATGGATAGTTCTATATTATAGATATACATTAGCTATGTTTCCATCCAAAGATTTGAATGAAACCTATGTGCAAAACTGGAATATCGCATAAAACATTTGATAATAAAGCACCGTTTCCATCCAACGAGTCAAAGAGAACAAAATCGTCACTTTCTGGTAAACTGGCACTAAATATCACTAAGTAAACTAGGAGAAGCCACTGAATTTAATAATTTTCATATATGATAAAAAACGTGCACCTCAGAGAGAGCAGATGAAACACAATAAACGCGGTCATTGCTTTCGGAGGTGGATGCTGCTGATTGGGAACGCAGTCATGTAACAACATAACATTTCAGAAGCTGTGCAGCGAGATCGGTCCACTGGTTAGTCAAGTTATCTCGTCCCATCGTGCAAAGTCACATGACTTTTTCGATGCGCATTGAGGAATTTATTCGGTAAATGTGTTTCCATCGTAGTTTATGCGCATTTTTTCTTATCGGATAAAAAATTTATCCTACTCAATTGTGCACATACGTTTTTTTTTTTATGTGCATTTTTAGAATTTATGCACATCTTGGTGTTTCCATCAAACGTTTTTTATGCGATTTCAAAATGCACATAAAAATAGGTGGATGGAAACATAGCTATTCACAATGGTTCATGGTATTGTAGTTCTTTACTTCGGTAAAGTGTTAATTACACAGTCTTGTACCGTTGTCTTTTTGTCTGATTTTCAAATACGTCAAATAAAATTTGTAAATTTGTGATTCACTTGCAGCTGGTTGGTTTAGTTAACGCTGTAACAAAGACTTTTTAAAATCCCTATGGGAAATATGAAAGGTAAAAATACTTCCAAAAATAACGCTGCTAAAAAAAAAAAAAAGTGGGCGATAATAAATGAATAAAATGTGTGCGTGTCTGTCTTTTTAAATGTTCTTTTTCTTGGAATTTCTTACCTTGATCTGCATTGCTGTAGAAGTACTTGTAGTTGGGGTTCCCATTCTTGTTCGTGATCTCAGAGTGGACTTTGCCAGTGGGATCTACAAAAGAAGAAAAAATATTTTTCCATCCATGTTGTGACAGTCACCTTGATCATTTACTGACACCTTGAGGTGTGGATGTAGCATCACACAAGAGTAAAATGTCATGCTACTGATGGTGGTATTGTAGAATCACACTATTTAACCGTAATGTGTTTCTGCAATTCTGTCCCGTAACAGGATGGTTACCGGGATAAAAGGAGTCATATTCTTCTGGTTATGTGGTAAAAACTTTTCCACACCCATAAGGTGACTGACTCTTACCTCCACAAAAATGGACATTTATTAGGCCACTAATATCTGAAGGAAGAGTCTACCTTTAAACAATGGTTGATGTTCTAAACTAGTGCATTTGCATGGGCGGTTTTTGTTTATGTATATGACCTACCAAGGAAAAGTATTCTTGGAATGTATCCGCCATCTGGGCTGAAGGCCTCATCTTTTGGCTCCTCTTCATCCTATAGCCACATGGGGCATGTAATGAGAATGTGAAATATAATAACACTTACTTGACAATATATGCATTTATTACTACATGTGGTTTCAACCAACAAAAAAAAAAAAAGAAGAAAATATTACAGGGAAAAAGTATACAGGGGGGGGAAAAAAACATTATAACCATCTACCATCTAACCCTCTCTGACGGAATTAAAATATGCATTTTGAGAAAAGCATAAAGTAAATAATGAGAAGAGGAGCTCCTTACCTCCAAGTTAATCATGACAAAGTTGTGAGCCAACTCAGAGATGTCCTTTGATTCAGCAAACTTGGGCTTTAAAGCTAAAAGTTATTTTTAAAACATCATAAATTATCTGTACACTACGAGGTAACAGAATAAGCCATTCATGCATCAAAAACACAACCATTCAAAAGGTTTTTTGATGAAAAAAAAAATATATTATACAGTGCTTAATTTGTAAATGAATAATTGCCGGATCCAAAACAGCAATTAAAAGGCGCTGTGACCGACACTGAAAATACAACTTAAGTGTTCCCGGAACATTCAATGACATCACTAAACGGTGTAGGACAAAGGTGTGTTTGAACTAAGAAGCTGATGTTTCCTTCAGGCTGTAGATCTGCTGAATATCCAATGGTCCCATAGCTTCATGCTTTATTTCTCTATTCTCTTTACTGCCTAAGCTTTAACCAGGAAATTAACGTTCTTAGAATTGACAGACAGTTGACCCTGAGAGTTCAAGTAAATACTTACAGCGGATCTAAATATTTATAATTAATTATAACTAGTTATGATTAATTATTCCTATTTCCCCTTTGAGCTGATTCACTACAACAGTGATGCCACACTTATAAGAGGGCATCGTTCACAAGTTTCTGCATTAAGACAGAATGCTGTGATCAAGATATAGTCTTAGAAGAAGTAGTTGATGCTATCAAGCATCTTAAGTGTACCAAATCACCTGGCAATGACGGCATTGCAGCAGAATTCTATAAACAATTCTCAGATATTCTTGCCCCTTTCCTTTTAAATGTCTTCACTGAGAGTATCAAAAACCATGAACTTTCTCCTAGTTTATCTCAAGGAATATTAACCCTCATACCCAAAAAAAAAGATTTACTTTTGATTGAACATTGGTGCCCAATGAGTTTATTAAATAACGATTATAAAATTCTGGCTCTTATATTATCTAAAAGAATTACAAATGTTTTAAATTCTATAATAGATGACACAGAGTCTGGTTTTCTCAACAATAGACATGCCTCAAATAATATACGTTTAGTTTTTGAAATCTTAGATTACTCCAATTTGATTAGTGATGATAGCTTTCTTCTCTTTTTGGATTTCTATAAAGCGTTCGACACGTTGGAACATAAATTTATTTTTCAGTGTCTCGAAAAGTTTGAATTTTGACTTTTTTTTCCCGTAAAACTTTATATATGAACAGTAGTAGTTCAGTTATTTAAAAAAAAAAAAAGGAACAACTCGTCGTTTTGAATTATTGAGGGGCATTAGGCTGCCCTATTTCCCCTTACCTTTTTCTTCTTGCAGCTCAGATTCTTTGTTCTCATATAAAAGCCAGCAGTTTAAAAGGGGTATCTATTGCTGAAAGAGAGGTGGTTATCAGTCAGCTTGCTGACGACACAACCCTTTTTCTTAAAGATGAAAGGAAGATTCCACTTGCAATAAATATTAGTGATTAATTTTCTAAAGCTTCAGGTTTATGCTTAAATATTAAAAAAGTTTGAACTTTTTGCCATTAAAGACTGTAATGAATCCTTTGTCCATAATATCCCAGTGAAAGAAATAATTTGTTATCTAGGTGTGTTAATTACTAAGGATCAGAAAGAAAGATGTAATCTTAATTACCAAGCCCTTATTGATAAAACACAGAAAAGGGTATTTCTCACAAAGGCAGAAGGCCTTCCGAGGCTTATTAATGTCGCTCAGTCTGTTCCTCTGGACTAGGGCTGCACAATTAATCAAATTTCTAATCGCGATTACAATTATGGATGCCACAATTACGTAATCGTTCAAAGCGGCAATTAATCGTTCAAAGTCCACTTTTGTTATTCTGCACGCTTAAGATGCTTTTTTATTTCTACATGTCATTTTAAGGGTTTTTCCATTGTTTTAATTTTAGTTTTAGTATAACACTATAATACCATTTATATTTTTACTTTTTTTTATAATTTAAAGAAGAAACCAATCCAATGTATAGTTGACATTTGAGGCTTAATACTATAGAAAAGCACTAAAAGTTTTTCAGTTAGAGTGTTTTCAGCTTGTTTATTTTCATATAAAAATACGGCATGCAGTTGCATCAAACAATGGTATAAACATCATTCAATGTAAATTGTGATAATCGTAATTAATAATCGCAATTACAATTTCAAGGCAATAATCGACAATTATGATTTTTGCAGCCCTAGTCTGGACCCAAAATTAGGTAAAAGTATTGACCAGCTACTCTTAATTTTTTATGGAAGCGTTCAATACATTATATTAGAAAATCTGTTGTAATGAACACATGTGATAAAGGGGGTCTTAATTTTTTGGATTTCAGTACTTTAAGTTACACCTTCAAGATCAATTGGCTTAAACAGTTTAGAAAGAACCCAGGGTCTTTGTGAAACTTTATTCCCAATTATGTTTTCTCTCAATTTGGTAGACTCGATTTTCTTCTTGTAACTATAAAATTGATAAACTACAGGCTACATTATCTGCTTTCCATAGTCAGGTTCTCTTGGCTTGGTCGCTAATATTCAAGCACAACTTTTCACCCCCCAGATTTTTTATTTGGAATAACAGTAATGTTTTATACAAAAATAAATCTTTATTTATTTTTATTTTTTTTTAGAGTTGGTTTGATAAAAACATACTGTTGATCAGTCAGTTAATGAACTCTCAAGGGTTGTTATTTTCATATAAAGAATTTTTAGATCACTTTCAATTTCCTGTCTCTCCAAAAGAATTTTCCATTGTTATGGGGTCTATCCCATCAGCTGTTGTTGCTTTACTGAGAGGTACCCATCCTTTGTCACCAGTTTCTCTTAATTTGGTTGATACTTTGTTGGTAGATTATGTATGCAAAAATAATAATAGGATAGTCCGTTCATTATTTCAGCAGAATATTATTACTCTGCCAGCTGTGACTGCTTATTTGAATAATGCAGTGGGTAACTGGAAAAAAGTATGTATGCTTCCTCATACTTATTTAGTAACTAACAAAGTAAAGGAGAATAATGCAGTGGGTAACATCTGCTGGAAAAAAGTGTGGATGCTTCCTCATACTTATTTACTAACTAACAAAGTAAAGGAGATTTCCTACAAAATAATTCATAAGTTCTATCCTGCAAAGCATTACATGAAAAAATTCAAAAGTGATTATTTCCTCCAGTTGCTCTTTTTGTGATGACTCTGTTGAAACGGCTGTTCATCTCTTTTGGAACTGTCCATTTACAAAGAAATTTTGGCAAGATGTTTTAAGTTTCATTAGGAGTAACTTTTATAATGAATGTATTCTATTTTGGAACGTAGGACATAGTATTGGGTTTTATTGAGTATGAACAATCTAAAAGGAACCAGTTTTATGTAGTGAATCTGATTTTGCTTCTTGCTAAATTTCACATCCATAGATGCAAATATTCAAACTCCAGACCTCTCTTTCTTGTTTTTATAAAAGAATTTGAGCAATACCTTTCATCGATCCAGTTGTCTCGGAACAAAAAAGCTTTAAAAACTTTATCTGACTAACTCTTTTCCTATTTTTAATGACATGTAAGTCTCAATTTTATTTTTTCAGTTTTTAATGTATTAAACACCCCCCTTTTTTCTTCTTCTTTATTTGTTTTTACTTTATTTTTTGTTATTATTGTTTATCATTTTTATGTTAATGGTTGTATTATTCTATGTGTACTATTCTTGATTTTTGAGCATTAATAACAAAAATTAAATTAAATAAAAAAAATAAAATTAAATAAAAAAAGGTTTTACTCACCCCCGAGGCATCCTAGGCATATATGACTTCCTTCTTTCAGACGAATCCAGTCTTTGATCTTTCAAGCTGTTTCGCGGCACTCAGCGGGTGTTGCATGCATCAGTCCAAAAGAAGTTAAATAAAAAGCGCCCATCCTTTAAAATACCCATCTCACACGGCTCCGGTGGGTGAACAAAGGTCTCCTGTAGCGAATCGATGCGTTTTTGTAAGAAAAATATCCCTATTCAAAACTTTATAATCACTTTAATCTAGCTATCGCTCACTGTTTTAAACGGAAGCAGTTCCGGGCGGATGACGTATGAGGTCAGCATTGCGCATGCGTCGCTCAGAAGTGACGCACGAGGAAACGCAGCAGAGAGATCAAAACAACACACCGGTCACTAATTAGAAGTACAAAACGAGGATTTGTAAAGAAGAATGTCAGAGGATTTCGATATAAGCCAAGAGGAGACTGGTTTTCCTTTGCTAAAGTAAGGAAACTTTGCTTCCTTTGATCCTGTAAACAAACGTTGGTTTTCACGAGACTCACCGTCGCATGCGCAATGCTGAACTCAGCATCAGCCCGGAGCTGCTTCCGTGTACAACAGTTGGAGCAAGCTACATTAAAGTGATTATTACGTTTTGAATATGGATATTTTTCTTACAAAAACGTATCGATTCGCTACAGGAGGACTTTGTTCACCCCCCGGAGCCGGGTGAGATGTTTTTTTAATGGATGGGCACTTTTTATTTAACTTCTTTTGGACTGATACATGCAACACCCGCTGAGTGGCATTAAACAGCTTGAAAGATCAAAGACAATTTTTAATATAACTCCGACTGGATTCGACTGGATTCGTCTGAAAGGAGAAAGTCATATACACCTAGGATGTCTCAGGGGTGAGTAAAACACAGCCTAATTTTCATTTTTGGGTGAACTAATGACTTAAATAAGTAACAGTTTTAATTAAACGCGCATCCTTGCTTTATTTTACAAAATCACAAATGTTCTGTTGTTATTTTGAGGGTGCAAAAGTAAAAGTAAACACTTTGTGCTTTCGAATTATGTCTTACTCTTATCTGTATGACCAAAAATGATGTATTTTATGCTTCAGCTGTTCGACTGCGCCTCGCGCGCTCACACACACACCACATATTCGCAACTCAAACTTGACATCGCAGTCTGTTCATTATCAAAATAAAACACAGTCAACCAAAAATATTTAAGGTTACACTGGTCAATTTAAATAGTCTGTGGTATAACTGGTCCACTTTGTATGCCAAGCACATTTTTGCTCACGTGAAGAGGATATTTCTGTCGATATACGAACGTGCGTGAAGTACAAAGCCTCTACATTATAAATAATAGTTTCATTCAAATACATTGCGAATATGGAAACATTAGGATTTGTGCTGAATAAGAGGTAGGCCCTATGTGAGCCCAGTAACGCCTGGTACTATAGTTTCATTCAAATACATTGCGAATATGGAAACATTAGGATTTGTGCCGAATGAGAGGTATGTGAGCCCAATTAATGCCTGGTACTTTCAGTTTCGCTTTGTTTTGGTTTCTTTAGGTTTATATATTTTTATTTCATTCTTGTTCTGTTTTGAATACCGCTACATTTATATGATTTGTTTTAGAGTGAGCTATACTAACGTATAGCTATGTTTATAGTGTTTATAAATGTTTATACATTATAATATTTCACTTTATTTGGTATTATTTCTGGTATTATTACACTCCAAACGTTCTGCTGCTCACAAAACAATAAGCAGTAGGCTAAGCACCAATCAATGAGAGCAAGTTTGAACTTAAGAAAGCTGACTGGTCACGGTCAAAAATATGTTGAGGACCAATAACCTCCAAATACATAAACCTGCGCTCGCTCTCATATGCACGCACGCACTGTCACGATCTAATGCCGGATCCTTAAAAACAATTACCGGAATGCAAAAATCCAAAATCTGACATTTTCCGGAACAGGATCCGGCTCAAATTAAGCACTGTATATATCATTTTAAATTGTAGTAATTTAAATAACAGTATTACTGTTTGTATTTAACAATATAAAAAAAATTATAATAATAATAATACAAAAATATTGTATTTCAGTTCTTATGACAGATATTCATATATATTAGGGCTGCACGATAAATCGCATGCGATATTTAATGCGATTAATGCGATATTTAAGCACGCATGTGATAGAGATTTACCGCTGATTACAGAACGGCTTTACTGACAAGATGCGCATTAAATATCTCATGCGATTTATCGTGCAGCCCTAATATATATATACATATCATACACTGTCCAAAGACCAGCATCATACCTTTACAGGCTCCACACCAAGTCTTGTGAATAATGACCATCAGAGGGAGTCCACTGGAACGAGATCAGAATTACATTTGTTAAATCACTTTTAAAACAATTCATTCAAAAGCAAACGTTTCAAGATAACAACAAGATAACTCGCAGTGCCTCATGGAACAACACTTAACATAATTCCATTCTGCTAGGGATCCTGGTAATTTTCTTGCCATTGTGTAAATAATCAAATTATAATAATAATAATAATAATAATAATAATAATAATAATAAATGAACCCTGTAAACACTAGTGCTGTGTTCAAAATATCGATATGACGATGTATCGTCACAGAGATTTGACGATACGAATATCGATACAGCTGTCTCTGTATCGATATCGCGGCACGTGCGCTGCAGTGGACCGCGCTTAATTTAAATACAAGAGCAGCGTTTAAAACGGAGTAGAAAAGGGCAAGGTTTCTAAAAAATAATGAATAGAGCATAATATATAGGCTACAAGG